CAGTTCACCTGATTTCCATGGCCAGTTGAAATGTCCAGCAAACAGTGGGCAGAGGGAGCGAAGGAGAACCCCCCTCGTTGTTTGTCCCCCCACCCCTTCCCTGCCTGGAGCAAGGCTTTATTTTTAGGCTGGAGCGTTCACCTGACGTGCAGGTACTCTCTGAAGCCTCAGCAGAGTGGCTGATCCCCCAGAGGATGTGATGGGAGCCCCCCCAAAAAGCCAATAAGGGGGGCAGGTGCCCAGCAAAGCGGGCCTGGGGAGCAGCATCCTCAGGGATTTTATCCCCAAGAGCTGCTTCTTTGGAGTGGTTTTGAGGGGAGGATTAACCTTTAGAGGATAATCCTCTTTGCTGGTGAGCGGATGGCAGAGCTGAAGAACTGCCCTGAAGCCCTGACATCCCCAAAAAAGGGAGATGGGAGAGGGGGGGGCTTAAAATAACGGAACCAGCACCTCGTTTTTCATCGCAGGCTTCGGCGAGGATGTCGTCCCACCAGCAGAAACAGCAGCACCAGCTCCCTCCCCAGTGCCAGGAGAAGTGTGTGGCCTCTGCCAAGTGCGTGGAGCAGAGCCAGGCCCCCAAAGGCCAGGCCAAGAGCGCTGTGAAGAGCATCCCCCAGCAGCAGCAGCAGCAGCAGCAGCAGCAGCAGCACCAGCAGTGCCCCAAGCAGAAGTAGCGCCCACCGGGGAGATGCCAATTCCCGATTTCCAAACGCCTGCCTTGCCCAACTTCCCTGTCTGCTGGAAGGGCTCCAAGCCTGCAGCCACCCCCTCAGCTTGCAAGAAGGAGTTGCTTTACAAAGGGATGCAATTCATTAGCTGGGATTAGTTCGTCCTCTCCTGTCAAATAAGAAATAAATCGTGGGGCCTCTTGATGCTGATCTGAATTAATTTGGGACACGCTGCAATAAAATTATGAATAACCTCATTACGTGCTTCCTGATGTTTTTACTGTCACTTTACTCCTGTTGTTTGTTGTCTTTTCCTTTTATTTGCTGAAAAATTGCCTTCAAAGACATACCCAGCTGGTTGGGACGGGATATTAAGGATAAATTCCCTCCCCTGTGAGGGTTATTCCATGGATTCCCCATCCCTGGAAGTGTCCAGGGCCAGGTTGGAGCAACCTGAGCGAGTGGGAGGTGTCCCTGCCCATGGCAGGGGGGGTGGAACTGGAGACACTTAAGGGACCTTCCCATTCCAAACCATTCCATGTGACTCAGGGCCATTCTATTCCTGAGTTTCCAAGTGCTGATTGGAAAGCCCCGAGCTTTGAGCCTGCAAAAGGTCTGGCTCTTGCAAACTGAGGCTCCTTCCCATCTCTTTTTGTTTTTTTTTTCTTTTTTTAAAAGTAAGAAGCTGAGAAAAATCTCCACGACTCGGTATTCAAAGCAATTTTTATTGCCGATTTTTTTTTTTTTTTTTTTTTCACAGTGAAATAACTCCTGGATGCGACACCAGCCTAAAAATAATTAGAGCTAAGTAGCAGGTCCATACACAACCACCCCGTGTGGGGAAACACTGCAGGGTGTAGCTGAGCCAGCCCCGAGCGGGTTCCCTCCTTTTTTTACCCCCGTGGAACTCAGGGAAGCCACGCCTGAAGGTCAAATCCTGTCTTCCAAAACGTGTCTGGAGCGGATTTAATTACCTACACACTTGCCAGGAAGGCTCTCGCAGCTCGAGCTGCTCTTTTTCCACCTCCTAGAAAAATTCCAGGTGAGCTCTTGGTTTCCCACTTATCCTAAAAATCCCTTTCCTGTCCCCTGGGACCCCGTGGATGCTTTTGAACTGCAGAAAACAAGGAGCTCGTGTTAGGAGGGGTCGATCAGAACCCTCCAGCAGCAGGTTCTGCCCAAACCTCCGATTATTAAGAGGCGAAAAAAACCCACCCCCGAAATGCAAGTTGGGAGGGAGGGGCCTCGTGTTTGGGGGAAGTTTCTTGCTGATCTTTTAGGAACCCTGCCCTGTGCGTGCCAGGGAGCTCTTTGGAGCCTTCCAAAGCCAGTGGGAATTGGGAGAGGGGCAGCAATTCAGGCTGCTGGGAAGCTGAACACACAACTGGGACCCTGCTTGAAGCCTTTTTTTTCATCTGCTGAGCGTCCTGGGCGGGGGGGTTTGTTAGTAAAGGAGAAAGCATTAATTGGAGGTGGGGGGNGTGCACGGAGGTGTGAGCGGAGCAGGTTCTGGTTGTGAAAGATTCTGGTCATCAAGTTAATCTGTTGTCATCATCTGCCGGGGCTGAGTCCCGAGAGGGTATAAAACCCTCCTGGCTGGGGAAGCTCCTCACCTCCAGTGGCTTCTCCTTCCCTTCTCCCAGAGCAGGAGACACCAGGTGAGTCCTCCTGGGCCCCTTTTGCTGTTTAGGGGGGGGATGGTTTGTCCTGTCCCAGCTCCAGCTTTGCCCCCCCCCTGCAGATTTGAGAGGCCCGCGATGGGGTTTGGAGGTTTTCTGAGGTTCCAAGCGGTGGTTTTGCTGCCTCTTTGGACCAGAAAACCCCTCTTCAACCCTTTGAATTTCCCCTCTGAGCTGATAAGAATCCTGTGGATAACCATCAGGGGTTGTTGAGTGGCATCTGCCAGAAGCTGGCATCCACGGGACGCCTGTTTTGCATCAGCCCAGCGACCACGGGCCGATCACTTCAACCTCCTGGATCTCCAGGGCTCTGGAAACCTTTCATTTTTCGAATAGAATCCTATCAGTTCACCTGATTTCGATGGCCAGTTGAAATGTCCAGCAAACAGTGGGCAGAGGGAGCGAAGGAGAACCCCTCTTCGTTGTTTGTCCCCCCACCCCTTCCCTGCCTGGAGCAAGGCTTTGATTTTAGGCTGGAGCGTTCACCTGACGTGCAGGTACTCTCTGAAACCTCAGCAGAGTGGCTGATCCCCCAGAGGATGTGATGGGAGCCCCCCCAAAAAAGCCAATAAGGGGGGCAGGTGCCCAGCAAAGCGGGCCTGGGGAGCAGCATCCTCAGGGATTTTATCCCCAAGAGCTGCTTCTTTGGAGTGGTTTTGAGGGGAAGGATTAACCTTTAGAGGATAATCCTCTTTGCTGGTGAGCGGATGGCAGAGCTGAAGAACTGCCCTGAAGCCCTGACATCCCCAAAAAAAAGGGAGATGGGAGAGGGGGGGCTTAAAACAACTGAACCAGCACCTCGTTTTTCATCGCAGGCTTCGGCGGGGATGTCGTCCCACCAGCAGAAACAGCAGCACCAGCTCCCTCCCCAGTGCCAGGAGAAGTGTGTGGCCTCTGCCAAGTGTGTGGAGCAGAGCCAGGCCCCCAAAGGCCAGGCCAAGAGCGCTGTGAAGAGCATCCCCCAGCAGCAGCAGCAGCAGCACCAGCAGCAGCACCAGCAGTGCCCCAAGCAGAAGTAGCGCCACCGGGGAGATGCCAATTCCCGATTTCCAAACGCCTGCCTTGCCCAACTTCCCTGTCTGCTGGAAGGGCTCCAAGCCTGCAGCCACCCCCTCAGCTTGCAAGAAGGAGTTGCTTTACAAAGGGATGCAATTCATTAGCTGGGATTAGTTCGTCCTCTCCTGTCAAATAAGAAATAAATCGTGGGGCCTCTTGATGCTGATCTGAATTAATTTGGGACATGCTGCAATAAAATTATGAATAACCTCATTACGTGCTTCCTGATGTTTTTACTGTCACTTTACTCCTGTTGTTCGTTGTCTTTTCCTTGTATTTGCTGAAAAATTACCTTCAAAGACATACCCAGCTGGTTGGGACGGGATATTAAGGATAAATTCCCTCCCCTGTGAGGGTTATTCCATGGATTCCCCATCCCTGGAAGTGTCCAAGGCCAGGTTGGAGCAACCTGAGCGAGTGGGAGGTGTCCCTGCCCATGGCAGGGGGGGTGGAACTGGAGACACTTAAGGGACCTTCCCATTCCAAACCATTCCATGTGACTCAGGGCCATTCTATTCCCGAGTTTCCAAATCCTGATTGGAAAACCCTGAGCTTTGAGCCTGCAAAAGGTCTGGCTCTTGCAAACTGAGGCTCCTTCCCATCTCTTTTTGTTTTTTTTTTTTTTCTTTTTTTAAAACAAGAAGCTGAGAAAAATCTCCACGACTCGGTATTCAAAGCAATTTTTATTGCCGATTTTTTTTTTTTTTTTTCACAGTGAAATAACTCCTGGATGCGACACCAGCCTAAAAATAATTAGAGCTAAGTAGCAGGTCCATACACAACCACCCCGTGTGGGGAAACACTGCAGGGTGTAGCTGAGACAGCCCCGAGCGGGTTCCCTCCTTTTTTTACCCCCGTGGAACTCAGGGAAGCCACGCCTGAAGGTCAAATCCTGTCTTCCAAAACGTGTCTGGAGCGGATTTAATTACCTACACACTTGCCAGGAAGGCTCTCGCAGCTCGAGCTGCTCTTTTTCCACCTCCTAGAAAAATTCCAGGTGAGCTCTTGGTTTCCCCACTTATCCTAAAAATCCCTTTCCTGTCCCCTGGGGCCCCGTGGGTGCTTTTGAACTGCTCGTGTTAGGAGGGGTCGATCAGAACCCTCCAGCAGCAGGTTCTGCCCAAACCTCCGGTTATTAAGAGGCGAAAAAAGCCCACCCCCGAAATGCAAGTTGGGAGGGAGGGACCTCGTGTATGGGGAAGTTTCTTGCTGATCTTTTAGGAACCCTGCCCTGTGCGTGCCAGGGAGCTCTTTGGAGCCTTCCAAAGCCAGTGGGGATTGGGAGAGGGGCAGCAATTCAGGCTGCTGGGAAGCTGAACGCGCAACTGGGACCCTGCTTGAAGCCTTTTTTTTAATCTGCTGAGCGTCCTGGGCGGGAGGGTTTGTTAGTAAAGGAGAAAGCATTAATTGGAGGTGGTGGTGGTGGGGGAGTTGGAAGCTTAACAGCGATTTCTTCTCCACAGAAGCTCTGCAGCCATCAAAAAGGTGTCGGGAAATGAACCTCTGGTTCCCATTTCTGGGAGACGGGGGGGTGGAGGGGAGAGGAGGTTTTGGTTTGGGAGCTTCTCCCTTCAGGGATTCTCTCGGCAGCGCCGCTTTATTTCTGCACGGGGGGCCACAGGTTGGGCTGTTTCAGCTGCTGCTGCTCCACGGGAGGGAATTTCTCGGGAAGGGAGCACTGCTCCGGCTCGGGGCAGGGGGCTGGCACCGGCACCGGGGTGTCCTGGCACTCCTGCTTCTCCTGAGGGCGCGGGGTGGGCACGGGGAGCTCCTTGATCTCCTGCTTCTGCTGGGGGCACGGGGTGGGGTCAGGGGTGGGCACGGGGGTCTCTTTGATCTCCTGCTTCTCCTGGGGGCACGGGGTGGGGTCAGGGGTGGGCACGGGGGTCTCTTTGATCTCCTGGGGACACGGGGTGGGGTCAGGCAGAGGGACAGGGAGGGGCACGGGCGTGTCCTGGCACTGCTGCATTTCTTGGGCGCACGGGTCGGGGTCGGGGCGCGCAACAGGGATGGGCACGGGGGTCTCCTTGATCTCCTGCTTCTCCTGAGGGCACTGGGCGGGCACGGGGATCTCCTTGACCTCCTGCTTCTCCTGAGGGCACTGGGCGGGCACGGGGATCTCCTTGATCTCCTGAGGGCACTGGGCGGGCACGGGGATCTCCTTGATCTCCTGAGGGCACTGGGCGGGCACGGGGATCTCCTTGACCTCCTGCTTCTCCTGAGGGCACTGGGCGGGCACGGGGATCTCCTTGATCTCCTGAGGGCACTGGGTGGGCACGGGGATCTCCTTGACCTCCTGCTTCTCCTGGGGACACGCCGCGGGGTCGGAGCAGGTGCCAGGGACTGGCACGGGGCTCTCCTGGCGCTGCTGCTGCTTCTCCAGCCCACACGGAGCTGGCTCAGGGCAGGGCACGGGCAGCTCTTTGCAGGCTGGTTTCTCTTGGGGGCACGGAGGAGCCTCAGGTAGGAGAGATGAGGGTGACTTGCACTGCTGCTGCTGCTCCTGGGGTGGGCACTGGGGCACCACGGCCCCGGGGGCTTCTCCTTTGCCTGCTTCCTGGCTTGGCAAGGGCACCACCACCTTTTCTGGGCACGTTCCCACCGCCGGGGCTGGGTCCGGGAGCTCGGGGTGCTGCTGCGGGCACGGCACGGGGTCGGTGAGCTCTTGGCTCTGCTTGGAGATGCTCTTGCTCAGCCCCGGGGGGAGGGTGATCTCCTGCTTGATTTGCGTTTGATTCAGGGACATCTTGGCAGGAAACGAGACTGTCTGAAAGAAAGTCGGGGGGGTTATTTTGGCGCTGAGGGAAGCGCGGCAGGAGGAGGGGGGAGCAGTTATAAAAAAAACCAGCAAAGTTCTCTCGCTTTGCCCTTGGCTTCCCAAGGCAGGTTGTCCCAGAATGATGATTTCCTCTTCTTTTTTTTTTTTTTCCCCCCCATCCTGCTCCGACTCTGTCTTATCTTGTTTCCTCCTCTCTGCTCTGCGATGTGGGACAGCCCTGTCAGGTCTGACTTGAGGTAGAGCCGCTCCTTTGAACCTGGAGCTGATTTACACTTCACAGCCCTCCCCCTCCCCTCTTCCCGAAGTGGCAGCTCCCTTTTATTTCTGTCCCGGGGAATTGATGAGAAGGAGCTGCCAAATCACAGATCTCCCCGTTTTGAGACTCAGAAAGTCAAAATGATAATATAAAACCAGCGAACGTGGAAGACAAACATTTAAAAGCACTTTTAACTCATCAGAAAGCAGGAAAACGCAGACGTGGGGCCAACAGGATATTTCACGTTGGCAAAAGTGAAATAATTCACTTGGCTTTGCCCCTTTTACAGTGGTTTCCAGGCTTTACTTGGAATCAGAAGCCTTTTCTGCAAGTATTAAGGCTCAGTCCCTCCTCTTGCTCTGTTTCCATCCTGACTTTGCTGGTGATGTAAAAGAGGTGACCTGTGGCCCAGCCCTTCCGAGCGCCGTGGAAAGAATTAGCGGCGATAAATGTGCTCCTGGATTGTCCTGGCCACTAATGACACCTGTGACCTGTGTGAATCAGAGCCCCCAGGAGGGACTTGGGACTCTCCTGGGTGGACTTGGGTGTTCCTGGCAATTTGGGAAACTGTTTTGTGGCTGCTGAAGGCAGGCCCCGGGCTCGGCTGGGCTGTGGAAGCATCTTTGCTAAAAACCCCCCTGCTGCTGCTGCTTTCCCTAAAACCAACTGGAAGGCACGAATTGAAGGTGGGAGATGGAAAAGTGGGGCCTGGAAGGGGCAGTTTTGAAGCCCCCTCGACACAGGACCTGTAGGTGAGAGAGAGAGAGGGGGGAGGAGAGGGGCAGCTCCTTCTCCCGTCCCCCTGTGGTTGTTGCTCCTCTCAGCACATCTGCAAAGCCAATTCCCTCCTCCAGATCAATATCCCCCCTCTCTCACCATTTTTTTTTTTTTAAATAAGGATCTGATAAGATCTTGCCAGCGCTCTCATCCTCCTACAAGCCCCTCGTGCCCCGAATCCCTCCTTTCCAAGAGAATGGGGATGGAAATTTTAACAAAAATCCTCGTGAATCGCGGGAAATCAGGCTGGGAGGGGGAGCTTGAGGAGGCCACTGCTCTCCTTTCCCCCCAAGGAACATCATTTCATCCGCTCTCCCTTTCAGAAAGGCTCTAATTTACCCCTTAACCACCCTCAGATTTACACTCGGGCCGAGTTCACCTCCAAGGCCGCCCGTCCTCCCCACAGCCCCTCTTCTTTCCAAGAGCCTTTTTTTTATTTTGGCATATTCAGAGGCAGCAGGTAAAGCACTTCAGTTTAAAGAGAGTGGGAGGGAGAAGCTCAGAGAGGCATCAGGAATCCTCTGACTTACCCAGCCGGGGAGTTCGCGCGGGAGGGAGTCGAGCGGGCGGTGGAGCAACGGGGCAGATTTGGGAACTTTTATATGGTTTCAAAGCCCTGCCTTCTGGGAATGAGTCCTCCTGGCTGATGAGCTCACTCTTTCACAACTGCCCCTGCTGCGTTTCCTCCACAGCCTTGTTCTACACGTAGGCACCTCGCAGGCAGGGTTGGTTTTATTCCCCCCTCCTCCCCCTTGACTAATCCCGTTGAACCCAAAGTTGGGTGATGATGATGAAGGTCAGACCCTCGGGTTCGTGGGTTTGCTGAGGGCCCTGTGGAGATCAGGAGATTTGTGGGGGGGTCGTGGTGCCACTCCATGCCATCCATCAGTCGTTTCACATCCCCTCATTCCCGCTAATTCTTGGAATGTATTTGTAGTTTTAGGTTGATTTGTCCCCTCACTGATGGATTCTCTGAAATGACTTTAGAGTGTAAAAACTCGTGAGGGATGAGGTGACTTTTCCTTAGGAAGATCTTCATAGATTTCATTCTCCTTTCAGAACGGATAATTTTGAATCATCAGGAGGAATCTGTCGCTGGAAAGGGTGGTCAGGCCTCGGCAGGGGCTGCCCAGGGAGGTTTGGAGTGCCCACCCCTTGGAGGTGCCCAAGGAAGGACTGGATGTGGCACTGAGTGCTCTGGGCTGGGGGACAAGGTGGGGATGGATCAAAGGTCGGACTTGATGCTCTTGGAGGTCTATTCCAACCTAAATAATTTTGGGATTTATGAATTAATGTTGTTTTCTGTGGTCCAGACGACACAGCTCCCACCAATCTAAATGTGACAGAACAGGGAACTGAGTTTATCTCTGTGTATCATGTGGCAAGGAGAGGGATTTTAATGGTATCCAAGATTGATCACATCAGATGGGATTGGAAACTGGTCCCATTTAGGGGCCAGAGTGGCACTGGAAAGGTTATTTCAACCCCAATGTGAAATAAAGGGTGTTTTCCATGGAAACACTTCCTTCCATAGGCATTATTCCACGTGAAAAACATTTGTTAGAGCGAGGATAACTCACCACTTACCCTCCAGATCTCAGGGAGGGATCAGGACACAGGTCAAGCAGCCCTTAATTGGGATGGGAGGATTATTTTCAGCAGCAGAGACGCCTTGGCCCACACAGAGCCCGATTTCGTCACGTTTGGGACTATCTTTGTCCCGTCTCCACCGTCCCACCTGAGCTCTTATCAGCTGCACTTCTTGCTGAGCTGGTCCCAGTCACCCCTTGGGATTCCTGGGCAGCAGATGGAAGAAGCTGCTCCCAGCTGTGGTGTAACTTCCTCTGTCTTATTAATCCTCTGGCAGCTGGAGGTCGGGACACCTGAATTTTGGGTCGTGGTGTCTTCCAGAGTGGGGCTTCACGTGTGGGACTCCCTGGCAGGTGAGGACCTCCCTCACAGGTTTAGTTTTAGTCTCCAGCCTTTGCTAGAGAGGGGGAACACCCCAACCCAAGGCCAAATTTTGACTCAGGCCTCCCCAGCTGCTCCGCTGCAGCAAATTCCACTCGCAGCTCTGGAAGTGGGACACTTCCCAGCAGTGGAGAACCCGCCTGGCTGCTTTCTAGGCAGCACTGTGGTTATCAAAATAGCCCTTGTGCTGAGATAGGCTCCTGGAAAATCGCCCTTCAGAGCTGGGGAGATCGAGGGAATCAGATCAGAGTCATTAAGTAAGTCGGGATTATTGTTGGAAGTGTCCAAGGCCACGTCAGATGGAGCTCTGAGGAACCTGGGAGAGAGGAAAGTGTCCCTAGCCAAGGGTGGAGGGGGTGGAACTGGATCAGCTTTAAGGTCCCTTCCAACCCAAACCATTCCAGGACTGTGGCTGTTGGCCTGGAAGGGTCTGGAAGGGCCCGGGGGGGATTTCAGCAGCTCCGGCGCTTCACCCGAATTTTCGGGTGATATCCAAAGTGATTGTGCACTGTCAGCTCCGAGCTGGGTCGTGCCCATCCACCAGGGCACCTGGCAGAGAACTCCCTGGTGGAGGAACATCAAGGCAGAGCTCCTGAGCGTTGAGACACCGCTTTTATTTGAGCAAGACTTGAGGTTTTCGGGGCGTTTCGCCGTCGGATTCGGCAGCCTCCTGCTTGCGACACGGGCGTGAGGAAAGAGAAGCACTTTCCATAGCTGGGAGGGAGACGACCTGAACCCTGTCTGGAGATCAGCAGGTGGGGCAGCCCCTGACCTTAAACACTGCTTTGGATGCAGGTCTGGAGAGGCTGGAGGGGGAGGTCACTTCGCCTCCCTGGCAGCCACCTCAGCAGAAAAACGCTGCTCGTTAAAAAGTCGGCCCGTGGAAAGGGAGGGAATGTTTTTCCCAGACTGGAGGTGTGTAATTGCTTCTCCCTTCCTCGGGAATTGCACAAAGAGCTATTTTTAGAGGCAAAAGGCCGCGTGCAGTGAAATCTGCCCCGGCTGAGGCCTTCGGGGAGAGGACGGGAGGGACGTGCCCGGGGTGAGGCGGCTGCAGAGGGGACGTGGAGCTCTCACCTGCTCAGCTCCCCATGGACACCACACTCAGGCCACTAATTCCAGGGAGAACACCACCACAAGCAGGAAAATTGCTGGTCTGAGCCCGTCCTTCCTAGACAGAAAATGCTGCTCCAGCTCCCACAGGTCTCGGGCAGGTGCTGTGAGGCCACCAAAGGCAAATCAAGCGCTGATCAGGTAAATTAATTAAGTCCCCAGGAGCCAAAGATTCCCTGGGAGGTGGCAGCAGTCATTCCAGCAGCTCTGAAGGGAGCTGGAGGTGGAGACCCCTGCTAAGAACCTCAAATGGGATTCCTCACCTCAGGACCACGTGGATGCTCCCTGACTTTTTGCCACCCCTGAGTCTGAACCCTCGTGCCCAGAGAAAAGGATCTGAGGGAACCCTTTGCCCTCCTGGATTTCGTGTCCTGCTTGTGATTCACAAGTTGCTGAACTGGCTCTCCCAGGTGGCTTTAATGAGGCTGTTTCGTTAACACCCCATCTTGCTCTTTATTACTGTGTCTGTCATCATTTCGGGGTGGACATCATGATTAACTCCTCTCACCAGACAAAGGACATAATTACCCGTTCCTGAACTGCCCAGTATCGGTCTGTCTGCCCAGTCACTGAAGCCTCTGCTCTCCCAGGGCTGCAGACTGGGAGATTTTGGGGCTGCCCTATCCCTGGAAGTGTCCCAGGCCAGGCTAGAGCAACCTGGGCTCGTGGAAAGTGTCCCTGCCCGTGGCAGGGGGTGGAAGGAGATGATCTCTTTCTATTCTATTCTATTCTATTCTATTCTATTCTATTCTATTCTATTCTATTCTATTCTATTCTATTCTATTCTATTCTATTCTATTCTATTCTATTCTATTCTATTCTATTCTATTCTATTTTCTATTCTTATTTC